GGAGGAGGAGGAGGAGGGCGACGAGGGGCCGCAGTACGAGCCCGAGTTTGAGTACCGCGGAGACATGGTCACGCCGCTCAGTGACATTGTCCGGCGAGAGGGAGCCATGGCCAGGAAAAGTCAGTCCATCTCCAGGCAGTCGAGCACTGCTTCGGAGAGGACGTCGGTCAGTACGTCCACGAGAAATCAACAGCATCAACAGCAGCAGGCACCGATGCCCTGGGCGCCCACTAGCGAGTGGATTCAGGGATGGAAGCAGAAGCTACCTCTGCAGACCATCATGCGAATGCTTCAGGTAAGAGGACTAGTTCAAGCTGTGGACATTCACTAAACTCCCCCACTTTTAGGTGCTGGTGCCGCAGGTGGAGAAAATGTGCATCGAGAAGGGCATCACCGACGAGAATGAGATCCTGAGGTTCCTGCAGCACGGCACCCTGGTCGGCCTGCTGCCCGTGCCGCACCCGATTCTGATTCGCAAGTACCAGACCAATGTGGGCACGACCATCTGGTTCCGCACGTACATGTGGGGCGTCATCTACCTGCGCAACAGTGACCCGCCCATCTGGTACGACACCAATGTGCGGCTCTTTGAGATTCAGAAGAACTAGCAGTGTGACCACCCGACCCATACATTCCCGAACACTACCCCTACCACTACTACTATTTGTGACCTTTACCCCTGTGTGTGATTTTGCCCAACTTAATACCAATAAAGTAGACTAATTCTAACTAACAGAAAGAAGAGATGGACTTACCAAGGGAATTGGATGCACTTCAGTAGACGGCGGATGATGTGATGATCAGTGTCGAGGGCGCTTCAGAGATCGCTTCAGGCCACTGTTTTTCTCTTCAGCCGTCTTCGTCAGCTTGTCCATCTCCACGACGTGATGGGATACTTGCCTGGTGGTGGGGAGCTGGCGGTGATCTTCAGGTGAAACTTCTTTGTTCGAGGATTTAGGCGCGCGTCCGATGGAAAATCNCGTCAGCTTGTCCATCTCCACGACGTGATGGGATACTTGCCTGGTGGTGGGGAGCTGGCGGTGATCTTCAGGTGAAACTTCTTTGTTCGAGGATTTAGGCGCGCGTCCGATGGAAAATCAAAACAAACGCAGAGGCAGCAGCTGGCTGGCCTGCACTCGCCTGACCACTTTCAGTGAGGAGATGAGGTACAGGGCTGCCAGAACAGAGCAAAAAGCAAGGACGGCTCACATAGGACGTGACGCGGATTTAGCGCCACCAGTTGCACTTGGCGACTTTGTGAACTACAGCTTCGCTACAGTTGCCGGTAGATGTGGCCAGCGGCGGCGTGGCGGAAAAAGCACGTACTGAGAAGCCAATAAAGAGGCGGAAGCAAAAGGGGTATGCATCATTGTAAACAAACTTTTGCAAAGCAAATTCTTAGCCAATTCTTAATAGAACTACACCATCCAAAATACCAAACGAAAGATGAGATTCTAATTGATCGATTAGAGTTTACCAAAGTTTAATCGGTCCAGTAACACAGGAGATATCACGGTCCAAAATCAAGGTTTCAAACGCAGGGAGAAACGGCAAGCTCCGCCTTGAATGAGCTCCGCCTACAATGCATTTGTCGCACACTTGCTTTCGGCGAGTTGTCCGTCAAATGGAGGTCTCCATTTAAACTCCCATAACTCCACGCCTGATCATCGGATTGAGTTGAAACTTGCACCAATTAAAGTTCAGATTGTGCCCCGCATTACTAGCTAAATTTCAATTCACTCCAAACAGCGCATCATTGTTCAAAACATTTTTGAAAATTTAAATCAACTTTTTTATTAAAAAACTACAACGCAAATTAAAAAACGCAACGGGAAATCATTTGTTTAGCAGTGTACGGTACTTGTACAAAGTTTCAAATCAATCGGTACGGTACTTTTGAAGAAACGAAAAATGGGTTTTCTCGGTTTTGGGTAGATAGAATTGAATAATTCTTTTTTTCTATATTATTTACAAGACTAGGAGCACATTGCTAAAGCAAAATAAAGTTGCTCCGACAGGTGGCGCACGTGTAAATTTAAATTTTAAAATTTTAAAATTATTTTTAAAATTGTTTTACTGGAGTGAGTTAAATAACTTTAATGCACAATTAAACTATTGGCAATGAGAAATTACTGTGCCAAGTTTCAAAACAATAAAATCAACAGATTTTGTGCAATAATTTTTCAAAGTTCTAAAACAGTTTTTTGCCGTTTTCTCAAGCAGGAAACATGCTAAGCTCTTGGTTTTAAGCTTGAAAAATTCCAATTAGCCGTCTACACAAACGCTCCAACGCTTTTGATTCTAGCTCAAACTGTTCTCGAGATATGGCAGAATCAAAATTCCCAGGGGAAAACTTCGAAAATGCACATTAACTTTTCTTCCCGGGAACATTTCCCAACAACTTTTTTTCGGAAAACTTCCCAACTTTCCCGACCGGATTACTCGGCGCTGGTACATCCTAGGACAATGCAACTTGGAACACTTAATGCTAATAACTTGAAGCACACTACTAGCTATGTTTTAGTTACAGCAGTTTGAAAGTTGCTGTCTGTTTTCGAGGAAACGAGAGATTCTAGGTCAGTTGAAAAGATTCTCACTTATCTGATTTGGTAATCGGCTAGTGTAAGCAGTAAACAAAAGACAATCGGTTAGATTTACAAACAGTATTTATTGAATGTTGATTATATACAAATGAGAGCGAGAGAGATAGTTCACAAAAGGACAAATGCAGATGAAGGGGAGAGAATCAAATGTCAGGGGATCACACATGGAATCAAAGGAGAGCAATGAGAGGGAGAGAGGGAGAAAGAGGCTACTACTACTGGTAGTTGGTAAACTCGTCAAAGTGCTTGGTGCGCACCTTGATGCTAAAGTGGTACTGGCGGAGGTGGGCCTTGAGGAGGGCGGGCAGCGGCAGGTCGGCGACGGCCTGGTAGGAGGTGAGGCGGTCGCAGATGGACGCCCTCGCCAGGTGCTGCAGACTGAAGACAAAGTGGCGGTGGAGGGGCCTGGTGAGCATCGGCTCGAAGAACATGCAGTGCGAGGGGTCCTTGTAGTGCTCAATCAGCCCGGTGACGGTGGCAGAGGAGTAGACGCCCGGGTCGTGCGAGTCAAAGCTGAAGCGGTGCTTGCACTGCTCGATGCGGGCGTGCAGCGACCGGTCGAAGCGGCGGAAGCTGACGCTGAAGAGGTGGTCCTCCTGGGCGGAGTCGCGCAGGAGGAAGGTGCCCTCGGGCTTGCCCTCCAGCAGGCGCTCCGCCTCGTACCGGTCCATCTTGCCCCAGTAGAAGCTGCACGCGGAGATGGCCTTCAGGTCGGGCACCAGGCAGTTGATGTAGTCGATCTGGGTGTGCACGCCAGAGGAGGAGGAGGGACCTGCTGCCTCGAGGTAAGTCGTAGGAGTAGGTACTGTCGGCGGGTACTGTCGGGGAAACTGGCGGATCGCAAGCTCACCCTGATGATGATTGGAATAGTGGTGAAAGAGGAGAGATGGCGGTGGGTAAGGGGCTGCTGATACTGCTGCTGCCCGGGCCATGGGGTAGTTGGAGTGCTCCGGGTGCAGCGAGAAGGTGCTCATCGGGTGCTGATGCTGATGATGCAGATGTGCCTGTCGCTCACCGATGGCGAGAATTTGCCTGNGGGGGAGTTGGAGTGCTCCGGGTGCAGCGAGAAGGTGCTCATCGGGTGCTGCTGATGCTGATGCTGATGCTGCTGATGATGTGCTTGTCGCTCACCGATGGCTAGAATTTGCCTGAGTTGGCCCAGGTCGTCGCCGTGGACGCCGTCCACTTGGGGCGGTTGCAGTCCGTAGAGGCCAATGCCACCATTACCACCACCCCCACCACCGCCGCTCTGGTAGAGACTGTTCTCCCCGAAGAGCATCTCCGCCTCGTCGGCCGCCTCCTCCAGGTAGATGTCGCGCTCCAGGGCGGCACGGGCCTCAGCCGCAGACATCGCTGGCACCGGCAGTGGCATCGGTTGTGGTGGTGATGAAGAGGGCGCCAGAGGCCGCAGACCGAGCAGCTCTGCCAGCTCCACCGAGATTGGCCCGTCGATCTGCGCGGGCAGTCGCAGGTGGTGGTTGCTGCCGGGGGAGGAGGGAGGANTCGTCGGCCGCCTCCTCCAGGTAGATGTCGCGCTCCAGGGCGGCACGGGCTTCCGCCGCTGACATCGCTGGCACTGGCATCGGCATCGGCTGTGGTGGTGATGAGGAGGAGGGCGGCAGAGGCCGCAGACCGAGCAGCTCTGCCAGCTCCACCGAGATCGGCCCGTCGATCTGCGCGGGCAGTCGCAGGTGGTGGTTGCTGCCGGGGGAGGAGGGAGGAGAGACGTCGGCGGCAGAAGGGGAAATACTGGTCGAGGGGAGATTGACTGCTGAGGATGATGGCATAGCAGTTTCAGCAGGGTCGGCAGGAACACTGGGCACATCGCCCACCGAGTCAGTGCGTGCCCGCCGCGTGAAGCAGTCCACCAGGATGCTGAGGATGGGCCCTCGCTTCCGCCAGGAGGAAGAGGTGTTATTGGTGGTGGTGGTGGAAGGTCGCAGCTTTTCTTCTGCTGCAGGCGCAGGACCATCACCATCAGAGGAAGGTGCGGTGCCTCCTTCCTGCACAACAACGGGGGGTGGCAGAACATTGGGGTAGACGACAGCGATGGGCGCTCGGCCAGCAGCGTTGGAAGCGGTGGTCGGCGCGTTGAGGTCATTGAAGGTCCGGTCGGTGACTTGAAAGACGGTGGTGAGGGTGAGCGGCGAGGAGAAGGCGGTGTACAGCTCGGCGAAGTGGCCCTCCTCGGTGCCGTGCGCCTGTTCGATGGCGGCCACCGCCCCCTGCAGGTAGCTCTCCCACATGTCCTGGTCGGTCTGCATCTGGGCGTCCTCGCACGACACCGCCGCCGCCACCGTCCTCTTTTCAACAGCACCACTGCTCTTCTTGCTGCTGCCCTTCGTGCTCTTCCTGGTGGCCAGTGAGAGGCTCTTGCGCAGTCCGCTGGCCAGACCACAGGCCATCGGGCGGCAGCGACGTCGGAAGCGCTCGAGGAGGTTCCCGTCAGAGTGAGAGTGGACACGCATCAACTCACTCTCAGTGGCTGATGAGGAGGGCGATGATGATGATGATGAACTGGGCGCACTGACCACGGCTGCTTCTGCCGGGCGAATGAAAGCCGGGCCAGGGGAGTGGATTCGAGGTGGGAGTGGAGGCGGGGTGGCAATCGGTTCACTGCCCTCCTCTTCGCTGTCTGAGCTAGAGGCAGTGGGAACGCCTGCTGACTGCTCGGGAAGTGCCTGGTCGGCCACCATGATGATCATCAAAAGTGATGTGAATGGAGAAGAGAGGAGAAGAGAGGCCAAACTGCCGCTCAGACCACCAGATTGGAAATGAGCTGCAAAAAGAAAAAGAAGAAGAAGAAAAGATACATCAGTCATTTGGGAGAATCAAGCACTTGGAAAGCGATAACACTTTGCACAGTAGCACAGTCTAAGGAGAAGATAATCGGCAGTGATGTACAACGACAAGACAAGCACTGTACAGCAACTGGGATGGCGCCATCAAAGGCAAACACAATAAAGAGAGGGAAGAGAGGGAGAGCAATTAGAGAACAATTGAGACATCACTCACTTAGCTATCAGCAGTTCTCTTCTTCGAGCAGTTCTCCAGAAGAGCAGTGTTTGTCTGTCGGCGACGGTCCTCTCATCGGCGCCCACTTGACGCCTGATTGAGAGTGCTCTGATTGAGTGAAGTAGTGCTCCACATTTTTCCCCTCTCTCTCTCTCACACCTTTCCAAGTCAGACCGGGTTAGACCATCAGTGGGTGCCTCTTTTCTCAAGTAGAGACAACAGAATGGAAAGAGAGAAGCCTTTCACAAAAACAAGCCATCAACAGCATCAGCTTCAGGTGCACTTGCCGGACAGTGTACCAAAGTTGTAAACAAGAAGAAGGGAAAGGTGCCAGTCAGCACTTTCCATTCACAGTTCCGGCTGCAGCGTTTTGTGGAGAGAAAGCTGCCAATTCATGGGCAATTCAATGGGCACACAGCAAAGTACACCAGGTCTGATGACGAAAGCTCTCCAATGACGACACCCTCTCTTTCTCAGGCAGTAAAGGCCCAGTGCACGTCCGGTGGTCGTAAAAGTAAGACACACTGATGATGGTGATGGTGATGCTGCTGCTGCTGCTCAAGTGCAAACAAACTGGCGACGCTTGAAATGAACAAAAGGAGTACACTTACAGGAAAGAGAAAATAACCCAATCCTTAAAGAAGACGGCCAATTGAGGAGGATTCAGGTGGCCGGTAAGTGAATGGGCTGAGATGAAGCTAGCAGTGGGGATCAGCAGTGGAATCCACTAACTCCCGATAAAGCACACAAACACACACAAACAAACACTGGCTCGCAACTGACTTCACTGGAGAGCTGAGGAAGAATGAAGGCAGCAGAAAGCAGTGAGCAGGACGTCAACGTGTGCACTCCTTGTCTTCTCAGTCGCTCACTACTCGTTCATTCATGCAAATGCGCTGGTAGTGCTGGCACCACTACGAGTGAAATGCCACCGATGGAGTAAACACATCACACAGCACTGCCACTCTACTACTCGTACATTCGCCACGGACCAGTGAACAGACAGGCACTGGCAGTTGGCAGAGGCAGGCCAAGAGTGAGAATGGGGCAGACCCGCGCTGGTAAGCTGGCAGGATCAAAGCTTCAATGATGATGGCAGAGAGAGCACAATGAGCATTGCAACACCGACGGAAGTGATAGTGGCAAAGGGAGCCTGTCAGCAGTGATGATGGTGGTGGTGGTGGTGGTGGCATTACTGGTTGCCAGCCAATGTAAGCCTGTTGATATGCAGTGTGAAGATAGGATGGTGGTGATGAGAACAGCAGGGCACTACTAATTAATCGGAAGCACAGACATGCACAACTTCATCAATGGGAGCCAGTGAGTGAGTGAGTGCACATGATTAGGCAGCAGTACTCGTTAGGCACCAGGGATGCTACGGAAAGTTTTACCAGTGCCCAGTCAGTCGGTGCACCAGTCCTCCTGNGCAGCAGTACTCGTTAGGCACCAGGGATGCTACGGAAAGTTTTACCAGTGCCCAGTCAGTCAGTCGGTGCACCAGTCCTCCTGCACCACCACCACCACCATCTGCTGCTGCAATTGCCTCGTAAATGAGCACCACTAATTAGCCATCATCGGCAGATGGTTGGGCACTTCTACTACTACTACTAGCTGCAAGCTGTAAGTGTAAGCAAATGAAAAGTGCAGATAAATACCTGACAGAAGATTAGGGTGATCCGGTGCTGGTGGGGAGAAAGTGGATGGAAAGTGATGAGGTGGTGAAGTGGAGATCCGCCTGTGGCCGCCCGATTCCTGGCCACAAGGCTCGCTTCGGTGGGGCACACAATGATGGGACACACAGAATGATGGGCTAGGATTGCAAGGATGGCCAAGACAATGTGCTTCGGATTGTGGTAGTGCTGGGCTGCTGTGGTGACAACACAGGCAACGAGGAGGAGGATTTCTTCGAGTGCAACAATTACTCAGCAGAGGCTGTGGCAGAAGCAGTCAGTGGGAGCAGCAGCAGCAGGAGAAGTGGAGGAGAATCCAGTCGGCCACTGTGG